CGTTTTCATTCTTGGACATTCATATATGTTTATTCAAACGATCAAATTGTTAGGCAACATCATTTAAATGTTTATTCGTGAATGAAGCTTGTTGTCTGTTTGGAAATTTCGAAGCAAGCGATTCATGCTTGGCATAAGTTCAAAAAGTGCACAATTGAGTATTAGTGATGGTGGTAGTGGTAGTGGTGTGTGCATTGTCTCCGAAGATCCAGACCAATCGTGAAGATTAAGCCCTCGATGCTCGCCGACGGCGGTTTTTCTGGTGACACAAACTTCCTATCCACGTTAGCAATATTCGAAAACAGTGTTTGTATCATGCACACACACTCACAGTGGATGGAATTGTGTGGTGGATGACAGTAAAAACAGCGAAAAGTTTTGATGGTTGCAAGAAAAATGACAGCGGCAAATAGAATTCTAATCCAATTAGATCCAATTTGCGGTGAAACACAATGCCACTATTGTATCATGTCGAAATTTTTAGCATAAATACTTGTTTAAAAGTGCACAAAAGACACAACATTCGACTATTGTGTGTGTATGGCATTTTCGCCGGCGGGGCGAAATGAGAGTGTTGTGTTGTGTTGTGTGCGTGTATTGGATGCCGAGTTGGGATTTCATTCAAAATTCAAGTTAATCACTGTAAAGTCGCTTTAAATGATAAATCTATTTTAAACTAATTTGAAACCCATTTCGTATAATTTGAATGTAGTTTATTCGCGGCCACCGAACCATTTCGTCGCATCACTATGTATTTTCTCTCGGCTATATATCTATCACTTGCATTTGCTGCTGCTGTCTTTCTCTGTCTCACTCGCTCGCTGGTGCCATTTCGATTACGACGAAGAATCAGAGCGAATGCAGGGGCTTGTTGTAATCAGCAAAATGCTTATGGTGCACATGTACTGAAGATACATGTGTGTGTGTGTGTGTATAAGGAAAACCCGGCAAAATGAAGCTCATCAACTTTCTCATCACATTCAAATTGCATCAACAGCACATTTATTAAATGACGTAGAAAACAGGATAACAAAATTCGCATATACACACAAGCATGCATATGTTTTATGGTGGTGGTGGTGGTAGATTGGAAATGGCGCTGAAAGTGACCGTGCACTAAATATTTTCTTATTTCAAAAGGCACAACATGTACATAAATTAAGCAAAATACACATACATCCACGGATCGATATGTGATTTTGCCGCTGTCAATTGCATGACACAGAAGATGCAAAAAAATATAGAATTACGAAAAAAAATCTACACATATATCGATGTCACTTTATGCCAGGTACACATGAAAATAGACTAATAATTTGAATATCGATTCATGTTTGATTTGTTTCAACGTTTGAATTGATTTTATTTCCCTTTAAAAAGCTTTTAACCACTTCCATTTCAACGCACGTACATAAAATAGTATGCATAATTCAAAGTTTCACTCAGTTTATGTCGTGCTGTGATGGTTTTTTTTTTCTTTCGTTCGATGGAGAGAGACAGAGAGCAAGAGAATCTGATAAAAAGCACCGAACATTTTATGGTAATCTTCTTCACTAAATTCAGTTTGAGCCGAAAATGTGTAGCACACCTGGTGATCGAAGCTTATGCCATAAATTGTAATTCGCTCAAACATACACTCAATTACTTATTTCTTCAAAGCAACACAAAAGAAAAGAACAAACCAAAATTTCGAACCATTTTGTTCCACCTCAATATCATCCAATATATCGATTCGAGCTTTATTACATCACTCATCGCTGTGACAGTAGTGAAATGTACACGTTTTGAGGATTACATTTTACGGAGAAAAAAAAATAATAACGTCAACCAAATCAAAACCTTTTAAACAATGTGTCGTCGGTTATTTGGATTTTTATGTGTATTATTATTATGGTAAAGTGCAAGATTTCCTTCTATTCGGAGCATGTGAAAGAAAGCTCCTTGAATTCGGTAGCGTATTATTGAATTATCGTTGTCAAGTCAGGCACTTTGTTTCCGTACCACATTGATGTTTTGACACATTCATAACAATAGAACACACATATGCAATTTTCATTTAGAAGAACGCTCGGCAATAATAATTCTTCTTCTTCTTCGTTGGTTTTCATGAAGATTTTCACACACGCACAAGCACATAGAGAGACAAATTTTCGTCATCGACTCTCTTACCTGCTTTTTACCCGCCTCGTTCACCATTTGGATGTTTGAACGGGATCGTAAGACCAGAGCGTTGTTCACATAAATGTAGTCCTGATTATTTTTCCGCGATTTCGTTATGTAGAGTGGTGGTGTTCCATCAAAGTCAGATGTAATTGTCGTTCCCAAGTGCTCCAACGTTACCGCCGTTGTCGCTGCAAGCAAGATAAAGTGCGAAAAAAGGGAGAAAGAGGGAAAATTCATGAGAATAATTAAATTTTATGTGTGTAAAATGGTGTGTAGCAACACACTGTAGATCTTATTATGACTTAAATAATAACACTGTATTAACAAAATATGAACCAAAAATGACAATGGACGTTTTTATGCTAGAGAAATGTCTCTTTTGTAATCTCTAGAGTGCAGTCTCGCAAAGGTTAAGAGTAAGGATTTATTAAAAATTCCATTCTTTTTTAATGGGATGATGTACGCGTGTGATAATTACATGTGCCTGCACATTGTGCAGAAATAAAAAAAAACGGATGAGATCTTTTATTGGGTGTGTTCGAAAAATTACACTTTTTCCCGAACTTTAACTTATGTTTGAAGTGTTTGAATGGATTTTTTTTTGATCTGCAATGCGGTTGAATTCGTATGAATTCATATGGCTTATTGGACATTATTCCGGACAAAAAAGAAGGATCCTTTGTTTGCATTTGAATCGATTACGTCTTTTTCTCCGAATTTAGTGCAAGATAGTTGCCAACAGAGGATTACACGTCGCATACATTTTTAGCCACACTATATGCAATTTGTCTAACCATTATGTTTGCGTGAATATGGTGTAAAGTTTTCCGAAATTATGTGATGTGTGCAGGGATTTTGATATCGCGTCAAAGGGGATGCGAAACCAGTTCATATTCCTGCATGCCATGTTCCATATAATGTAGTACACGTATTCTAATCAGTTTGGAATTGTTTTATGAACAGTGGGTGTTATGTGGTGTATAGTTTTGGTGCATAGATTATGGCGTTCAAGTTGTAAGCGTTGAATTTTAACCGACTTTCATCGGCATTCACTTCGCGTAGACGATCTACGATTTTGTTGTTGTTGCTGTTGTAATGACACAATCACACAAGCGAATCGAACGAACGAACAAATCAACACTAAGGACATGCATCCTTTTTACAAATATCTTAGCTTCTTGTTTGAACGCAAAACGTAACCTAGGAAGTTTGGATGAACAAACACTGGATGTGTCACTGTTTTACCACATTGAATTTCTCTCTTCATTTCAGCATATGCTGAAAGTATGCGAAAGCCATGGCTTATTATGAAGTTAATATGGTAAGCAACCAAAACCATGACACATCTTTGCTAGATATAGTGCCTTACATTTTTCATCAATGCATCGAGTAAAAAATTTTGGGGAATATTTCGCAAAAATGTAACGAAATAATGCTTGTGAAAAATGAACTAGATTTTTTTCGTTGTTGTTTCTGCTGAATGACATGAATCTGGGGCATTTTTCTCTCTTTCTTTTGAAAATTGCATGCAACAAATTATATTGGTTGCTATAAATGACGCCACTTTTTAGCTATGCACTTCACTCACTCACTCACTTTTGCCATATAAAATGAGCTTTGTCCAACGGAACAAACTTTTCTATTGTAATTCGTTCTATTTCTTCTGCATCATGTATTCTGTCGTTATTCAAACGAGAAAGAGAAAAAGGAAGAAATAGGGAGAGAGAGAGAGAGAGAGAGAGAGAGAGAGAGAGAGAGAGAGAGAG